CTAGTGGAATCGATGTTTTTTTTATTGTATATTGACAGTTTGCTAGTGTTGTAGGCCAGTTACTTTGTTCGTATAGGAACGAGAATGACTCAGCATTTTCAACAAATATTAAGATACGATGTGCGTTGTTTTCTGCCCTCCATTTTCGATAAGCAATCGTTATCAGTTCGAAGTTTCGTTTCTTGGTGGACTACTTTATTAATTCATCTACCACCATTTTCACTCGCACTTCGTCAGTAAATATTAATGAGAAAGAAGCGAAGGGATACCGAGTGGTAGCGTAGCGACAGGCAGCAACTGTCAACTGTTGTTCAGTATCGTTTTCAGGATCATTTGTTAGGATTTGATTATTTTTTACTAGTTGGTTATCCAGGATGTTGCATACGTTGTTGATTCATGATAGAATGTGGTACTTCGTACTGATGCATGGTGTTGATCACGTTGCTCGACGAACCTATGTGTTGTTGATGATAATACGGTGTGGGCGCATTGGCTGTATTATTTTGGTACGGATGTTGCACATACATGTATGTCTGTGCTCTGTCTGTTGTTTGAGTAGTGGCTAGGGGATTATAGTATACAACTGGCTGTTATTGATTTGCGTTGTTATTAACGACCGTTGGTACATCTGTTAGCGTTGTATAAACTGGAGTGTTTTCGTGCACCGACGACTGCTGGTGCCGATGCTCCAAATGATTACGGGTCAGCTGATCTGATCGAGACATTTGTCCCCAAGTGTTGTTATTGAACACTTATATTGGTGTAAGACAATGAAAAGATTATGGATGAGAATATTTTTTTATATTTGTATAAGAATAGGAAATAAAAGAAAAGAGCAGACGCTTCTTATCGCTAGAGTTTATTTTTGAAAAGTGTTTGATGTTCAACTACTAATTCAACATAACTTAATGGATAGATTGATTAAGTACCTGAAGAGAATGATCAAGACAAAGTATGGGAAATATCTGAAAAGGTAAAAGAAAGTCTTTGCTTTCTCGAAGAGGTGGACAACGACCCTGGTAGTGAAGACAACGATGATGATGGTGGTGAGGATGAAAAAGACGAAAAAGAAGAAGAGCAAGCTAACAATACATCTAATATATCAACAACTGATATTCAGCCAACGAATGCAAGTAAAACAAATGATATATCATCACAGCTTATTTGCTCCATGTGGTCTTGTGCAAGCAGAACATATCTGACTGTTACATTTTAAAACAATAAATGTCGTTCTTTACAAGATTATTTCTTCGTACGCATATCTAATTCAATTCTATTTAATTTTAAATCATCTATCTTTGATTTATCAAGCAGCTAATCGATGATTCTCCGATAAAACTGAATTTCTATTTGTCTTTTCTTTAATTTTTAAGAATTATTCATTCTTCTTATCCACATACTTGCTTTATTGTTTCCTGAGAAGTATTTGATTGGTTATACACATACCAGATTCAAACTATTGTTGTACAATGTCTAAAATTTGAAATGAGAACAAACAGATGTTTCAAAATGAAATTCTACCTAAAATATGGATAAAATGATGAATATTCACTTGTAGTGATGAAATTATCCTTAATTATTAATACATTGACACATAATTTCAAAACTTCTGTTGTTGAACCAAATAGATGATATGTAAAATTGTTTTATATTGAACTGTATACTTTGGAAATATTACGTATCCTTATTTACAACTATTTATTACAGATTACTTGTAAAATTAGCATTAGAATGACAAAAGGTGGTATCCCATATTATTGAACGTCTCAGTGGTACTAATTAGCATTTCTTGACAAAATGATTGATTTCGCGTTAATAACCATTTTTAATAAGTGCTAAAAGGTGAATGCCTAGCTCACATATTCCTCATCAGAAATTGGCAACAATAATCATTAATTTCTTATAATTCTTTAATCATCACTTTTGTTCATATACCAGAATTAAAAAAGATTTAAGGTATTTCCTTAACTTTGAAAATAGATATTTTATCGTCTTTCTGTATATAGCCTGATATACAAATTAAAATCGGTGTACTTTTATAAATTTGAACTAAATAAATGAAAACTACAGTCATGGGATGACTTCGAAAATTAATTGAAGATTTAAAATTACACTTACCAATTTACCGTCACCATATTCGATGCTTGCACGACCATATAGGAGACAAAATCAAAAACGAAAATGTCTCAACTGGCATATAGTCAACTATGAAAAAGAATGGAGACCGATTACTTTTTTCTCATGATTTATATAATAGCTGTTTCTACTGAATTTTGGTCGGCCTTCACATTCTTTCTTCGAGAAAGAGTAGTTTCACCTCTGATTGAATAACACCACGTTGGAAGGGCATAGTTTCGAAGTACCTCCTTGAAAAATTCCTTTCTCGTTCTCATGCATCTCTATATGTAGATAAAATGAATAATTCGTATATGCATCGATCTAAAATACCAATTTTCAAGCATTCTCTCATGTAAGTCAGTGGGGGAGATGCATTCCCACCTACGTGTCTTCCCAGAAAAGGTCAAAGTTCAGTTCCTCTCAACGACTGTATAAACCAGCACCATTTTCATTATAATATTCATTTTTCATCTGCTCCAAAAGAAAGTTCTACATTTCTTATTGTAAACTACACAATAAACACTATTTCAACTTATCTGCGAGTCTCAAACAGCAAATTCGGCTATGAATTAATTATGTTAACTTATACAATAATATAAACTCAAGAAATTTCATATACATTCCGAATCAATCAAGTATCTTCAATTCATCGAAACTGATCTTCATCCGAAACGCCTCCAAACTGAATAAACATCAGTCTTCACTTGCAGCCAAAGCCAACAACAATTGAGAATGAAATTTATAACCGCCAATTCATAACTCAAGAGAAAATTATTACAAGTACCTATGTATTGTGATTTAAACCTGACCAACAACCACGAAATCCACAAATCTAAGGTAAACCTAAAAAATATTCCGTATCCAACAACAGGAACAGTTCAGATCAATTGGCCCAGTACTTAGCACATATACAAACATAACAGCCAAAAGTTTACCTAATATATCATAGAAAGAAGTAGATTTTCGTTTAAAACCGTAAATTTCTATTATACCAGAGCACTAGATCATATAGAGATCACACTCGACCAAATGAAATAGGCGCATTCCATAGTAATAGCTCAACAAGAAGTTAAGAGAAAAACTCATGAAATAGAAAGTTACATACTAAACAACTCTGGGAACATTCATTACCAAACTTACAACCCAGCACTGTCTAACCATTTACTTCCAGCGGAAGACAATTTTTCTCGTATTCAAAAACCAGAAATTCACTTGAATTGTGCAAACCACGATTTCCTCACATACTGCACATCGATATAATACCGCCATACAAGTAAACGCTTATCCTATAGAGAAAAATGTTCTTTTAAGTTCATTAAAAGCTTCTGTAGTAGAAATATCAACCTTCAGATGATTCTGATTGTATTTTGAAACGCCTCAGTTCCAAAATTGATTCTTGCTAGTTTTCTAATAGAATAATTGAATTTTGTATTGATTTTGTTTAAAATTGACTTTTTCTTTTGAAAAATGTTTCTTTTGAGTGAAATCGAGTGAAATTATAAGCCAGCTGATGAGTCTTCTTGAGCAGAAGATGAAACTAGTCATGGCAGCTCTACACAGCCACTACACCCTGGATTTGTAGGTCTAATTGAGTTACATCGATGGTAAAAAAAATGACGTCAGTTCTGAG